TTTTTTTTTTTTTTTTTTTTTTTGAGTAGGAGTCTCACTCTGTTGCCTAGGCTAGAATGCAGTGGCACAGTCACAGCTCACTACAGCCTTGACCTCCTAGGCTGTGAGTGTGCCACTGCACTTCAGCCTGGGTGACAGAGTGAGACTCCAACAAAAAAAAGAACCTCGGCAGGAGTGTGTAGGCTTACACCTGCCATCTCAGCACTCTGAGTGGCTGAGGCAGGAGAATTGCTTGAGCCCAGAAGTTTGAACCAGTCTAGGCGCTTTAGGGAGATCTGGTATCTATAAAAACAATTAGCTAGCCGGGCTCGGTGGCTCAGCCTGTAATCCTGCGCCTTTGGGAGGCTGAGGTGAGTGAATTGCCTGAGCCCACGGGTTCAAGACCTGCCCGGGCAACTTGGCGAGACCTCATCTCTACAAGAAATCAAAATGAGCCTGGCGTGGTAGCTCGTGCCTGTAGTTCCAGCTACTTGGAAGGTTGAGGCGGAAGGATCGCCAGAGCCCAGCAGGTCGAGGCTGTGGTGGCTGGGAGCGTGCCACTGCATTCCAGTCTGGGTGACAGAGTGAGACTCCAACTCAAAAAAAAAAAAAAAACAATTTGCTGGGCATGGTAGCACGTCCTTACAGTCCCGGCTACTCAGGAGGCTGAAGCAGAAGGATTGTCTGAGCCCAGGGAGATCAAAGCCTTGATTAAGCCACTGCACTCCAGCCTGGGCTACAGAGTAAGACCCCCAACTCAAAAAAAAATAAATAAATAAGAATACCAGTATTTAAAAGATTATATATATCTAATTTTTTTATTCTCTACTTCATTAATTTTTGTTTTTAGCTTTGTTTCTTTTCTTGTGTTTCTATTTATTTACTGGGTTCTTTTTCTACCTTTTGTAACTGGGGATTTGATTCATTTATTTATATTAATAAGTTAGCTTTCCTCTGATCCACTGTTTTAGTTATATCCCACGGATTCAAATACATAGTATTTTCATTATAATTACTTTTTAATGAATTCTGGAATTTCATTTGTATTTCCTCTTCTACTCAAAAGTTGTTTAATGGAAAGTTTCTTCAAGGAGAAAGGGTCTATTTTTTACTGTTTTCATTCTTTTTAAATAATTTCTAATTTTATTGCATTGTGATTAGATAGTGTTATTTTTGTATTACTTCTGTTTATGGAACTTACAGATGTTTTCTTTGTGACAACATTGATTTTTGATGAATTTTTCATGTGTACCTGAGAAAAATGTGTATGTTTTATTATTGGTTATAAAGTTAGATATGTATATCCATAAGATCTACCTTATTGATTGTATTGTTTAAACCCTCTGTATGGTTTTTGTGGTTTTTTTTAAGAGTTGGAGTCTTATTCTGTCACCCAGGCTGGAGTGCAGTGGCATGCTCATGGCCACTGCAACCTTGACCTGCTGGACTCAGGCAATCCTTCTGCCTCAACCTTCCAAGTAGCTGGAACTACAGGCTAATTTTTTGATTTATTATAGAGATGAGGTCTCGCCAAGTTGCCCAGGCTGGTCTCTCATCTCAGTCTCCCGATGTGCTGGGATTATAGACATGAGCCACTGTGCCCAGCAAGTCTTCTATACCTTTACTTTTTTTTTTTGTCAATTGATCTGTCTGATACTAAGAGTAGCATTCTAGTCTCATATTATTAGTATATTTCCATAACTCCCAAAATATTTTAATATTTTGTCTTATAAAGGATATGCTATTTGGTTCATATTTACAATTGTTATATATCATTGTGAATTGTGACTTTTAGCATTAAAAATATTTTCCTTTGCCATGTTTTATGCTTTTTGGCTTGAATCTTTTTTGTGATCTCCATGTCACTGCCCTTACTTTTTTTATTGTTTCAATTTGCCTGGTGTGCTTTTAGCCCATCTATTTAATTTTAAATTTTCTGAATCATTTTGTCTTTATGTCTCTATCCAATATATAGTTGGATCTTGCTTTGTGAGGCAAATGGAATTTTTTTAATAGATAAGTCAAGCTCATTTACATGTATTGATAAGTTTGATATATTTGGTTTCAACTGTTACATTACTTATTGTTATAAATGTTAAGTATATTGTACTAATACTATATTTGCTATTTCTTATCTCTATGTTCTTATTATTTTAAAATATATTTTGGCATTTAGGAAGGTTTGTTGAAGCCAGGCATGGTGGCTTATGCCTGTAATCCCAGCACCGTGGGATGCGGAGGCGAGAGGATTGCCTGAGCCCATGGGCCATGGTTTCGAGACCAGCCTGAGCAACTTGGCGAGACCTCATCTCTACAATTAAAAAAAAAAAAATTAACCGGGTGTGGTGGCACACACCTGTAGTGCCAGCTACTTGGAAGGCAGAGGCAGAAGGATCGCCTGAGCACAACAGGTCAAGGCTGTGGTGGCTGTTGAGCGGGCCACTGCACTCCAGCCTGGACAACAGAGTGAGACTCCGACTCAAAAAAAAAAAAAAAAGGAATGTTTGTGTTCTTGTTCCAGTTTTTTCCTTTGTATTTATGCCTTCTATGATCCCCAATGCCTTCCTCCTGAGTCCCCTGTTTTCTTAGTCTCTTACTATACAGTTTTTAGGGTTTTTGTTTTTTGTTTTGAGTCAGAATCTCACTCTGCCGCCCAGGCTGGAGTGCAGTGACACGCTCACAGCCACCACAGCCTCAACCTGCTGGGCTCAGGTGATCCTTCCTCCTCAGCCTTCCAAGTAACTGGAACTACAGGCGTGTGCCACCACGCCCGGCTAATTTTTTTAAACTATTGTAGAGACGAAGTCTTGCCAAGTTGCCCAGACTGGGCTCAAGCCCGTGGGCTCAGGCAGTCCTCTCACCTCCACCTCCCAAAGGGCTGGGATTATAGGCATGAGCCACTGCACCCAGCCAGTTTTTAGTTTTCAGTAATGTCCTTTAATTCACCTGTTGCTTACATGACTTTCTTCTTTCTCTTTCCCATGTTTTTATTTACATCATGGTTGGATGGAATAGCTTTTTCAAGTAGATTAATCAGCAAGAGCTTGTGGGTACAGTATTTTCTGAGCCCTTGATCAAGAATGTTTTTCTGTACTTGAAAGACAGTTTGGCTAGATTTTAAAATTTTTTGTTTACATTTTCTTTCCTGAGTTTTTTGAAAATGCTACTCCTTTGCTGCCTAGCTTACATATGTTGTTTTTGTGAGGATTGATGCCAGTCTAATTATTTTGCATTGTAATTTATTTGATAATTTTTCCTGGAGACCATGGGGATTTCTTTTTCTGTATGTTTCAGAGTTGGTCTTTGAGTATGTCCTGATACCAAGTGGACACTTTTTCTTTTTCTTTTTCTTTTTTTTTTTTGTTTTTGAGTTGGAGTTTCACTCCATCAATCAGGCTGGAGTGCAGTGGCACGCTCACGGCCACCCCCCGTGTCAACCTGCTAGGCTCAGGCAATCCTTCTGCCTCAGCCTTCTACCAAGTGGACACTTTCAATATGTTATGTAGATTAAGATCCTTTATTTCCAGACAGTTTTCATGGGTTATATTTTTAATGTTAGTTCTATTCTATCCTTTTGTTTATCATTTTACAAACTCCACTTGCATATACATTGGATCTTCTTTGCTTGCTTTCCTTTAGTACCCTTTAGGAAATTTTGATTCAAATCTGTTTGTCCTTGGGTCCCTTGTTTCTGAGATAATTTGTATGTTCTATTTCCTAACTTCAGTCAACTATCATTTAATTTTACTTTTTAAATTTTTTGCCTTAGCTTTTAAATTTCTGATTTAGAGTGTTTTTTCATTATCTCCAAATATTTTGGGGGGGTACTTAATTCAATTTGAGTACTTTGTTACTATTTCTGTTTTAGTGTTGATTTGGGGCAGCAGTTTTCATCAGTGAGCTGTTTAAATTCTCATCTGTTTTATTTTATAGTATTTTTACATAAATGAAGACTTGGTAGCTTCACATTCTGTGCACTGCAGCTTGGAAAGCTTTGGCAATGTGAGCAAAGTGTAGTTTGGTGTGGTTTTTTTGGGGGGTTTTTTTTTTATTACTGGTAGCTTTTGGAGAGGATGGTAGAAGAAGAAAGGGTATGTGATCCTCAGTTTTTCTTTCCATATGAATTGTAGCATCCTAAATTTTTTCCTCTTCTTTTCTCTCTCACTGCACAGTTTCCAAAAAGACCATCTCCTTTTTAAACTCTCTTTTCTTCCTCCTATGGCGTCATCTTTCCAAAATTACCTCTTCATAATCACATATACTGTTAAGTGATTTTCCTTTAGGTTGTACTTTCATCTTCCAGTAATAGACTTTCTTAGAATTTTCACACTTAAAATATATGTTGTGTTTCTGGCAGTGACTTAGATCATTCTTAGCTCTGGCACTACTCCCCTTTCTTCAGTTCAGCTCAATTTTTCCTGAACTTGTCTTGCTATGTGCAAAGACTCATGACAAGTGCATGAGAACTTGTTATTTGTCTGCTTACCCATAATTTGAAGTTTGAACATTCACTGCCTTATAGTTATGCTAACACGAGGTTTTTGTATAATTTTATTATTTTTATTTTTCTAAGGATATCTTAAAGACATTACCAGTTACACTTCGGCTGGTCTCAGTGGCTCAGCCTGTAATCCCAGCACTTTGGGAGCCAAGTGGATTGTCTGAGCCCACGGGATCGAGACCAGTCCAGGCAATTTGGCGAGACGTCGTCTCTACAATAAACCAAAAAAAATTAGCCAGGCATGATAGCGTACACCTGTAGTTCTGGTTCCTTGGAAGACTGAGGTGGTAGGATCATCGGAGCCCAGCAGGTTGACGCGGGGGTAGCCATGAGTGTGCCACCGCACTCCAGCCTGAGCGACAGAGGAGACTCCAACTCAAAAAAAAAAAAAAATTGCACTTCATCTACCCAGGCACTTCATCTACCCAGAATTCTGGCTTCAAAACTTTCATTGTTTTTATAGGTCTTTGAATTTTGGAAAAAATATTTTTGGACCTGAACTTTTTTTTATTATTTTTTTTTACTGCCATCTTAGTATCGTTTCTGAGAATACAAATGCTTGTATAGTCTACCATGTTAATTAGAAACTACAAGTTTTTTGTTTTGTTTTTAATTTTTAACAATCTTAACAGTAAACCTGAAAACTTTTATGCCACCAAAAACTGTTCTATAAACCAAAAAACAGAGTCATTGGTGTACTATAAATAAAAAGTAGTAATTCTTTTTTTTTTTTTTTTGACTTGGAGTCTCACTCTGTCACCCAGACTGGAGTGCAGTGGCCGCTCCGGCCACCATAGCCTCGACCTGCTGGGCTCCGGCGATCCTTCCGCCTCAGCCTTCCCAGTAGCCGGAATTACAGGCATGCGCTACCACAAAAGTAGTAATTCTTATGATCTGTGTTAGTGGTTCTCAAAACAGTAGAAGACATCAAAATCATCTGGAGAGTTTGTTGAAACACTGATTGCTAGGCCCCATCCCCAGAGATTCTCATTCATTTGACCTGGAATGGTGCCCAAGAATGTCCACTTCTTACGTGTTCCTAGGTGGTACTGAGTTTGTTGATCTGGTAACCATACTTTGAGAACTACTAGTCATTCACTCATTCATTCAACAAATAAATCTGCCAAGTACAATTCTAGATACTTAGAGTTACAGCAGGAAACAAAACAGACAACACTTCTCTGTTCTCTAGAGGTTTATTCTAGATTGTTTAAGTATTTTTTCTTTTTCTAAACATGAACCCTTTAACTACATGAAACTTTTGACGGCCTCTGAAGACATCTTTTTGATGGTCTCTGAAGATAACCTATCTCATTTGGATTTTTTCATCTTTCTTTCAAGGCTGATCTTCAGACAAGTTCTCAGCGTTTAAATCTTTCGGCCTCCAATGCTGCAGTGGCTGAACTTAAACCCGATTGTTGTATTGATGATGTCATACACCATGAAGTAAAGGAAATTGGAACACACATGTAAGGATCACTTTTACTAATTCTCAAAGACTTTTACTTCTGTATACCTTTATTTGAAATTATTGCTTTTCTTTCACTTGTCATTAAACCTAGGAACCTACTTCAGAAGGAATTTTGTGTTCCATGTTTACATGCTTACTAGAAACAAACTTTAAACAAATGTTTATTTTGTAGGAAAAAAGTCCAATTTATCAATGTTTAGCTCTAGCTTCATTTTTGCATCTACAGACAATCCTGTCTAAACAGTGAAAAGCCATGCAAATGCTTAAAACTCAGGTAGCACTTCGTCTAAAAATGCATTTGCTATTTTTTTAAATGCTAGCAACTGGTGTTCATAGTATTTATTTTTAGATTCAGTTTCTCAGCTTTGTACTTAACTGGGTATATGGACTCTACCCTGAGAACTCAAAAATACAGAACCAAAGTAAGACAAGTGAAATAAAAAAGTCAACCTCTGTATTTCTGGCCTGTGTGTGTATTTGAATGTGAATGTTCTAGTTTTCTTTCAGTCTGAGAGGCAAATATAAAAGTGTTAGCGATTTGAAGTAATTTTAGACTTCATCTCCCTTAGCACCATCATATCCAGTTAATTAATAAATCCTATTAATTTCCCTAAATATCTCTCATTTCTTCTTCGTCTCCATTTCCATCACCACTTTTGCATCTCTTTGTGCCCGTTAAAGTATGCAGTATTAGTCATTATTTAATCAATCAATTTTGGTGACAAGCTCTGTTGTAGGCACTTTTTTTTTTTTTAAGTTGGAATCTCACTCTGTCACCCCGGCTGGAGTGCAGTGAGTGGCATGATCATGGCTCACCACGGCCTTGACCTCCTGGATTCAGGCCGTCCTCTGCCTTAGCCTTCTAAGTAGCCGGGACTACAGACTGCACCACCATGCTCATTTAACTTTTTAATTTTTTGGTAGAGATGAGGTCTTACTCTATTGCCTAAGCTGGCCTCTAGTTCCTGGGCTCAAGCCATCCTCCTTCCCTGGCCTTCCAAATGAAGAGATTACAGGTGTGAGCCACTGCGCTCTGCCACTTTGTTTTGTTTTGTCTTTTTTGGGCTTTAAGCAATACAAATGTAGCTGGGCCGGGCACAGTGGCTCACATCTATAATCCCAGCACTTCAGGAGGCAGAGGTGAGAGGATTGCCTGAGACCAGGGGTTCAGGACCAGGCTGGGCAACTTGGCAAGACCTCGCTCTCTACAGTAAATAAAAAAATTAGCCAGGCATGATGGTGTGTGCCTGTGGTTCCAGATCCTTGGAAGGCTGAGGCAGAAGGATCACCTGAGCCGAGCAGGTCGAGGCTGCAGTGGCGGTGAGTGTGCCACTGCCCAACAGCCTGGCAGCGAAATGAGACTCCTACTAAAAAAAAAAAAAAAAATATTAATACGTTATCGTTCTGGAGACCAGAAGTCCAAAATGGCCTCACTGGGCCAAAATTCAAGTATTGGCAGGTCTACATTCCTTTCTGGAAGCTCTAGGGCAGAATCCAATTTATTACCTTTTGTCACCACATTCCTTGGCTCATGACTTATGGATTTTTAATGTTGTATATTCTATGATTGATATGAGCTTTGGAATCAGATTTCTTGGGATTCAAATTAGAGTTTAATTATTTATTAATTGTGTGATCCTGTATAAGTCACTTAATTCTTCATTGACCTTCCAATGCCCTTAGGAAATGTTGACTTTGAATGTGATTAACAAATCTCTTCCCAACCTAACCCTCACCAACCCCACTGGTTCTCACCTTCCTTACTTTTCCTTCCCTCTCCACACTGCAGTCATGTCGGATTTCTCTTGCTTTCGGGCTCCTTGGCTTAAACTGTGTTCTTTCCTTACGAAGGAATGCTTATGGCATCTTATTTAGTTTACTTCTACTACTCTTTTTCATGTCAGAGTCAATATAATTTCTTCACAGAGGCTTTCCTAACCTCTTCAACTAGGATAAATCCCCCTTATTGTATATTCTGTAGCACCCACAACTTACCATTTTAAAAAATACCTTTCATCTTGTAATTACTTATTGAGTGCCTGTCTTTCCCATTAAAGTATGAGATCCAGGAAGTCTGCTGTGTCCCCAAGATCTAGCAGAGGACAGAGGTCAATAATTGTTGAAATTGAGTGTTTTGAAATGATAATAAATGTGTAAAATCCCCATTTTACAGAAAATGTAAAATTGGTAGAGTTAAATAGCTAATTTAGAAGCATAGAACTCAAATCTAATCTTAGTTTTAAAGGCTGTAACTTGCAACACTACTTTCTACTGTGAGCACTTTGAAGGCAGGGATTGTGTTTTGATCAACTCTCTCCCTAGTCCCTGGCTTAACGGTAGGAACAATTATAAAGGGGAAATTAAATTACCTAATAATGTTACCTGTAGTATAACTAATTTTAAAATATTGATACTTGTGTTTCTGGCGGTGGCTTAGATCTTTTTAGGTACATTATGTATGTGTAAATAATTTAATTTTTTTAAGTTTTTAATTTTTATTTTATTTATTTATTTTTTGAGTCAGGGCTTCACTCTGTTGCCCAGGCTGGGGTGTAGTGGCACAATCATGGCTCACTGCAGCCTCGACCTCCTGATCTTAGGCAATCCTTCTGCCTCAGCCTCCCTTGTAGCTGGGGCTATAAGCACCTGCTACTATGTCCAGCTTACTTTTTTTTTGTAGAGACAGGTCTTGTTATATTGCCCAGGCTGGTCTTGAACTCTTGGGCTCAACCAATCTTCCCTCCTCAGCCTCCCAAAGTGCTGGAATTATAGGCATGAGCCACCATGTCTAGCCTAATAATTTAATATTTTACAAAATGTTGATCCTATTACTCATGCTTTTTATCCTTTTCTGTTCACAGTGAACATTTTCCCACCTCAGTCAGTATTCTTTGAAAACATGATTCTTTACATGATTCCATCTTACATAACTGGACAACGTACTTTGTTTACCCTAACATTGAACCTTTAGATTATTTTCAGTTTTTCACTGTTAAAAATAACATTGTGATGAACACCTTAATATTTCCTTATCATAGAATATTTGATGTGGGTTAACTATGAGAATATATAAGCATTTTAAAGGCCCTTTTACTAAAATATTGTTTTCTAAACTTAGAACTACTAGGTAAAGAAAATTAGTTTCTCTAAACAGTCACCAACTCTGGTATAACTTATAAAGAATTTTTGCCAAATCTTGATAGATGGAAACATGTTGTCTCATTTTTTAAATATTTCTCTGTCTACTTCTGAGACTGAACATTTTCACATGTTTGTTAGCCACTTACGGTACTCTGATTTAACTATGTATTCCTTTCCTTATATTTTGAGTGAGTTGTTAATGTTTTGCTAGTTGACTTACAAGAACCCTTTGAATATAAAATCTAATTATTTTATAATATTGTTGCAAGTATTTCATCCTAGTTAGTTGTCTTTTAAATTCTTTTAGTGTTTTTGTTTTACAAAATGAAAAAAATTTTGCATGAGTTCTCTATCCATTGCATTTATGATAAGAAGTCTATCCTGGAATTTTTTTTTAATTCATATATTTTTCCAGTTTATTTATTAACTTATTTCTTGTGTTCAAATAATTAGTTATTCTAAGATTTACTTTGGAATATATTTCACCTTTCAAAGAAAAAGCTTCTGACTTCCTGCTCCAAAAAAATGCTATATCTGTTTTTGTTTTTGTCTTTTTGAGTTGATTCTCACTTGTCACCCAGACTGGGGTACAATGACATGATCACAGCTTACTACAGCCTCCAATTCTTGGGCTCAAGTGATCCTCTCATGTCAGCCTTCCTAGTTGCTGGCACTATAGATACGAACCACCATGCCCAAGCTAATTTTTAAATTTTTTTGTAGAGACAGGGTCTCGCTTTGTTGGCCAGGCTGGTCTTAAACTCCTGGGCTCCAGTAGTCCTCTCACCTTGGTCTCCCAAAGTGCTGTGATTATAGGTGTGAGCCACCGCCTGACTTTTTATCTAATTTTGCTAATCAGAGCTTTCTTGTTCATGTAGTTATATCCATATCTGCTGGAACTTTTGTTTTTCCTGCTCTCTTCTCATCTAGCCACATGTCCACATTGTTGACATAAATGTTTTCCAAATTTGCTAGTAGAATTGAGGCATATTAGATTTTCAATTAAGAAATAAAATTGAAAGTGATTCAGAATCATTAAGCTATCTTTCTGTTTCAGCTTGGTATGTGCTGTCAGTTATACAACACAAGGTGGAGAAAAAATGTATTTTAGAAAATTCTTCAAATTTCAGGTATTGGGTATGACAGTGGTAAATGTTTTTATATGCCATTTTTCCCCTGGAAGTATACATTTATTCCTGTTTATCTGCAGGGAAAATAAGCTCCAAATAAAGCACATAGCTCAGTATTTTTGGATTTGTCATATGACTAACATCCTAAATTCAGACTAAGCCAAATAAAAGCAGAGAAACCATCATTGCTAACGTAATGTTTTTATAATGAAACTTGAAGATTTGTATCCAAAAAAAAGAAAAACAGCTTGTTTTTATGACTTGACAAACCACACAGTACTCTAGATGAGGAATAAAATGACTGTGAAGTCTAGGTAAAATGAATGTAAATTGTATCAAATTTCTAAAGAAATTTAAATGAGAGGTTATTGACTTGAGGTGAGTGGACTAAGTTTCCTCAAGACCTCTAGGACTCACTGGAACTTTAGGTAGACCTTTGTATTAATACACAATTTTCAGAGTCTATCAAAAAGAGTTAAAAACCACTGGTTTAACACATATGTGTGTGGGGGTGGGAAGATGAGAATGCCACATGTATCTATATAAATATAGATCTAAAATATAATGCTATTTTTTTTCATTCCTCTTGTAAGTGGAAGAAAAAGTACTATTAATAAGAAACATGAATTTGGTACTTTTTTTGCAAAAGTATTTTAATTGAAATTGGAAAATGACTGACAAATTTAAACCCTGTGATTTACAGCAAATAAACAAAAAGAAATGGTCACATGATAAGAATCTCCTGATTGATATGTTTTATTTAACCAGGTTCTCAAACCATTGGATGTGAAAACTAAATTTTACAATGCAGAGGTAAGTCTTAAGCACTGAATAGGATTTCAAAATAAACCTTAAGATCTTATTTGACTAAAAATTTGATGTGTTACATTTCTTACCAAATTGAAGTAAATTGCTAATATGACTGCAGATTATTTGTGGGAAAAAATGGGCATAAAGTTCAGTTAGAAGTGAATAATTTCATTGTAGATCTCTCTTAATCTGCCTTTTTCAACCTACATGGAATTAGTGTGTCTTGATTTTTATTCTCATTGTTAATTTTGTAAGACTTTCATCCCTTTCATTAATGATTGCTCTATAATTCCATTTAATGGTGGTTGTTACACTAGCAATCTGTTGAATATTTATAATGTGGTTCTGGAGATTATAAAAATTGAATTAGTAGCCCTAACCCTGCTAAATAGATTTAATATTTACATGGGAAAATACTGACAAGTAAACCTCAGCCCATTAAATCGTCTCCTGGGAAGTCAGTAGGCTAGCCAGAGTTAAGTTGCTGCGACTGGTGAAATGGCTTGACAAGCTCCTTGGAAGAAATAAGTTAGGCCAAAATAGAGAAATAAGTAACTTAACTTTTAGAATAGAAGATACTCTGTCTTCTATCCTTTATCTATGGTAAGATACAAGTAGAACTTACCATAGGAGAAAGAACCTATTGCTTGGATTTCTTTTCCAAAATTCTATATTATCTTGACTTATAGAGCTGCAGAAAAGTCAGATTTCTTGATGGCCCTCTTACCCCCCAAGATAATGTATCTTGCACCGCAGTGGTAAATTCAGAGATACCCAAATACAGTGTTATGAAATGAAGATTGTCTTTATTATATCGCTATTATTCTAAAACCAGATGATCAGAAATTTACAGTCATGTGGCAAATTTGATAGATACTTTTGCCATTAGCAATCTGAATTCTTACTCAGTAAAACACCTGTGTTACAAGGAGGATTTCTAAGATGTCAAAGTTAAGGAACCTGACCTGCAGCAGTGACCTGTTAGGAGAAAAGAAAAAAAATGCATATAATAACAAACCACCTAGAATAGTATATAGTGAGTTAGAAAAGAGAATGATATAAAAAGATGTGCTACAGGAGCTCTGGGAAGAACCCTTGGAGTCATTTTTTAAAAGCTTCTGGAAGAGAAGGGGACCTGGAGTGGAGTCTGGAAGGAATGCACGTTGGAAACAGTCACGTGTCAGAACAGAGAAGGCATGTAAGCAGGGTCATGAGAGTGAAGAGCACGCATATTTGATGGGATGATACAGCTTCATTAAGGAGATTACTAGATGTTTACAAAGTTGACGTTTCTTTTGGGGGGATAGGTGACTTGGGATACTACATATTTATTCTCCCTTTTTTGCTGTTCATTCCGTACTGTTGATTAATTATAATATAGCTGTTCAGCTTGGTGAATTTTACATAGTCTAATTTATCATTTTACTGGAAAAGGTCTCATTTGCAGTATGAGGAGACAATGTTAACTATTCTGTTAGAAAATTAAATAGGGCTATAGGTAGGTTTTTTTCCCCCTCTAATTGGCTCTAGGTGGCACCCATTAAGCCATTTATATTTTTTCTGTTAAAAATGTGGCAGTACCCAAGATACTTGTCAAGCAGTTTTGTTGGTTTGATTGTTTAGAGACGCAGTCTAGCTCTGTTGCCCAGGCTGGTGTGCAGTGGCATGATCAAAGCCCACTGCAGACTTGAACTCCTGGCTCAAGCAGTCCTTCTGCCTCCAGCTTCCTGGGTAGCTGGGACAGCAGGCGCAAGTCACCATGCCCACATAGTTTTATAACACACTCGGAGTGATTTGCAAGTCATTTTTTAAATTGCTAGTTATTCCATAAATATTATACAAGTGATGTGTTTCACCATAAAGAGAGAAAAAAGATCCACAATTCCACCACACCAGCAAGTAATTGATTTTCATTAATCCATATCCTCTTGTAATCTTTATTCATTTATATGTAATCTGTTTTTTATAATCCTAATGACAATTTTGTTTGCTGCCTTTTTCAGTTAACATTATATGTAGACTTAATCTTTAAACTTTGCTAACAAACTTCAGCCAAAAAAATTTTTAGTAAAATGCAAAACTTTTGAAAATAGATCTCTCTAAAAATCAGGAGTGAACAAACAGCATTTAGAGTCTCTCTGTTATAGTCTATATTCCCTATTAGGCAAACAAATACTATTCAGCCAGTAGCATGTGGCAGATTCTCTTGACCCTCATCTAGGAATTTCAGGTATAGTAAACCACACCAATATCAGCAGGTAATACTTATTACACTGTGCTGTAGCTCTTGTACAGTTACGATTATTAACCCTGAATCTGTCTCAAACATGTTTTTGATGCCGTTTCTAATAATGCAAATAGTATGTAAATCACCTAAAGGAAAGCAAGTTCATGAAACACTTCATTGTAATTTTCTAAGACAGAAAAGCCTTGAAAGAAGATTGGTGAGATTAGAAGCTAGAATTCAAACATTGGTTACCTGCTGGGTAGTGCCCCATGCCAAATACTGAACATCATCCAGTCCTCAAGGAACTTGCCTATAGTGGAGGAGACAAATAGAACTATGATATAAGCCCCTCCCACACATGCCCCCCAAATCATTAAGTGTGTTTAAGTCCTCTGGGAACGTAGAGAAGGGAAAAATGATTTCCAGGTATACCTCTCATGAAAGAGGTGATAAATGAGATTGCCCTTGATAAATAAGTAGTGTCAGAAATACATATAAAAATAAAGGCTAACTATGAAATCTGCTAATAAGAAGAGAATAAACTCTAAATTGTTTGAAGTGCTGTGTCCCAGCATTCCCTGAAGTATGGTCATGGAATCTAATTACCCAAGGTGCTCCTTTTTTAAAAAAAAAGGATTCCGTTGCTACATAAATTTAGAGAAGGCACACATTGTGTATCTATTTTGAAAGTAGACAATAGTGTATATCCATCCTAAGTCATCTATGAGGAATTACAGTGTAGGTAAAGAAGTTACAGAACTGGAAAAGCATGGGATATATACCTCTCTGCCCTAAATATACCTTTAACAATTTGCTCCTGTTTTAGTATTCAGCCATAGTGTTCTTTTCTATTCCATTGTCGTTTAACTGTAGCAGTTTCACCTTTTTAGAAAAATGGTTTGTCAAAATTCTTTATGTTGCTTCCTGTTTACTTTCTTGTTTACTAATGCTGTCTTGTTTAGTAAATTTTAAAAATGCAGAAATGCATTTTGTTTTAAAGTTATTCTTTTTCTTTAACATTTAACTCTAATTTTTCTTTTTTATTTTTCCATTAGAGTGACCTCAGTTCTGTGGTAATTTGATTTTTTATTATAAATTTATATGCTTTTCTAACTCACCACTTTTTGACTCTGCCTAATTAATCTTTCTTTACAAAACATAGTGGAAAAACAGTTAGTTATGAACACCATCTCTTTGACTTCAGAAAGATGTATATTTTATGTGCTTTTGATATTATATCAATTGTCTTATTCTGTGAGGAAAGTTTAAAAAGTTAAATTGTCAGCTGGGCATGGTGGCTCATGCCTGTAATCACAGCACTTTTGGAGCCCGAGATGGGAGAATCGCTTGAGTCCAGGAGTTGGAGACCAGCCCGGGCAACATAGTGAGACCTCGTCTCTACAAAAAATCAAAAAATGTGTCAGGCATGATGGCACACACCTATAGTTCTGCCTGCTCAGGAGTCTGAGGTGGAAGGATCACCTGAGCCCAGGAGGTCAAGGCTGCAGTGAGTGGTGATCCTACCACTGCTTTCTACTGACTCAAAAAAAAACAAAGTAAAAAATTTAATTGCCATATTGAAACAATTATATTATTATTTTTAGTGTTTCTTTTTTTGGTGTTTTTTAAAAGAGGAATGTTAACCTTGTTTAAAATAATTTTGAGATTTTCAACAACTTACTGTATAAAATACTGTACTGTTCTATCCTTTGATTCTTTGAATAGATTATATCATTGAAGTTCATTTTCAAATGTACAGTAGTTTTAGTTTTAAGTCTGGGCCAGGTAACAATGGCTTTTTGACAAAATTAAACAGAAGAAAAGCAAATTTTTCGAAGTTGGCTAAAATCTTATTTTCAAATTTCTATTTACAATAAGCAACATTTGCTTATATTCCATTACATATGTAGTAACATCAACTACCTTAGCCCTGACTTCTTAATTTTTTAAAGTCAAATTACTTCATAATAACTGTTCAGACTAACTTGTTTTCCATTATGCTGCTTGTTTTTCTTTCATTTTATCTAAGCTTTTCCTAAATACATGCAGAAAGTTGCGTTTTTTAAATTTAAATGTGGGTCTGTGGGTTTTTTTTTTTTTTAAGCAATGGATTGATGGGATATATTTACTTTTTTCTTCTTTTTCTTTAGAAAAAATAACAGAATAATGCCTTTAACTGGTATATTTTTTGAAGTGATAAATCACTTGTATTTCTCCCATCCAAGGACTAACTAGGCCCGACACTGCTTAGCTTCCGAGATCAGACAAGATCGGGCACATTAGGGTGATCTGGCCATAGACTAAATCATTGTATTTCTATTTTCATCTGTACATCTGTCCCAAAGACTAAAGAATCTGTTTTATTTTAGATAATAAAACATTAAATTATAACTTCATCATTATAAATAATTTTGCAAATTATTTTTATTTTCCTGGCATTAGTGTTAAAAAGGCTCATAAATGCTAAATTTTTCTGGCCATAGTTTATCTTATATTATTTCTATATGGATATTACTATGAAACTTTTGGGAAGAATGACTTTTGAATGTACCTTAGTATATCATTTTTTAGGTAAGTTTGTTTCAAAGATAAACCCAGTTAGTCTGTTATTTTTCAATTAAGCAAAGAAAAATTATAGCCAAATAGCATAAAAATAATGGTTAGCATAATCAGTCAATTAAAAATTTACATAAAGTGAATTATTTTAATTACCCAATGACTGTAATATTGCTGAATAGCAATAATATAGTTTTCAAATCTGTCACTAAGACTACAAAATATCTTTTGCTTGATTTAAAAGCTCTAAGATTGTCAGGTATAATTCACTTAATTGATTGTTAGCCCTAAATATACATTTAAAATGAACCAAGAAATCACTAATGACCACTCACAAACTGCTTTAATTTAAAAAGTTAAATCCTGTAAGGTTATAAAATAGATTATTCATAGTACTGTGGTCACTAGACTATTCAAACTGAGGTAATATGACAATTGAAGTTATATTCTGCTACAATATCATAATGAAGACCTAATTATCTTAATGTAACACTAAAATTATAGGTGCATACTAAAGCACATTTTAACATTTTAATGCCTTACTAAAAGATTTAGGATATTTGTGAATGAAATTCCAGTTTAATAAATATTTTTGGATGTTAATATAAAATATAGTTATCCCCCATCCATTGTTTGAGAAGATATCAGCTGACTAACACTTGACTTTGCCCCTGTTAATTATGTTAGGATAAAGATTTCTTTTCTTACATTAATTGTAATAACTTTAATTTGCAGGCATGAACTAATCACATTTTGTGGTTAATATTTTTTCTTAATATTGATAAGATATTTTTGTTGAGATAAATATTTTAAATACCATCACACTTTGGTGGATATTTTTTCATATCCTCAGACTGATGAAGTATTTCTCGAAGCCCAGATTCAGAATATTACAACCTCACCCATGTTTATGGAGAAAGTTTCATTGGAGCCATCTATCATGTACAATGTAACAGAATTAAATTCAGTCAACAAAGCTGGAGAATGGTAAATATTAATTATGAAATGTTTGTTCTTGTTTTGAAAGATACATATTTTTCTAATATCCATTATTGAGTGTTTTTAATCACTAGACTTTTTTAAAAGAATTTTTAAGTTCACAGAAAAATCACTTAGGAAGTAGAGTTCCCACACACCCTCTTCCACCCTTCAGTTTCCCCTATTATTTATATCTTGTATTAATGTGGCATATTTGTTACAATGAAAGTTCATAGTTTACATTATTTAGTGTTCACACTTTGTGTTGTGCATTCTATGAGGTCTATTTTGTGTTTTGTTTTGTTCTTAAAGATGGGGTCTTGCTATGCTGCCCAGGCTGAATTAAACTCCTGGGCTCAAGTGATCATCTTTTCCCAGCCTCTCAAGTAGCCAGGATTATGGGCAAGTACCACTACATTCAGCTTCCATGGGTAATGACACATGTATGATATCTATCCATCATTACTGTATTCTACAGAATAGTTTCACTTTCCTAAAACTCTCCTTTGCTGCACCTATTCATCCTCCCTCCATATAAAAATAAAGATCTGGGCAGCCCCTTCGGGCACCCTCCCACTGTGGGAGCTTTTCTGTCCTCTCAGTAAATCCTGCTTTCTCACTTAAAAATAAAATAAAGATCTTAGTATAGCACTTTGCATTTTATGTTTCACTATTTAAAATAATTAGCTATTTTAAGTCTCATAATACTTTAATGAAGTAACTGTCATCATTATCCTGCAAATGATAAAACGGAGGAATGAAAAGAAATAGTGGAAAAGTTAGAAATGGTAAGGGTAAGCATGAGTTTGAGAAGGAAAGGTTGGGCAACTCCCACTGTGGGAGCTTTTCTGTCCTCTCAATAAATCCTGCTTTCAAAAAAAAAACAGAAAGAAAGAAGTCAGAGTCTCACTCTGTCATCCAGGTCGTGGTCACTGCAGCCTCGACCTGCTGGGGTCAAGTGATTCTCCCACCTCAGCCTTCCAAGCAGCTGGAACCACAGGCACGTGCCACCATGCCTGGCTAATTTTTTGATTTATTGTAGAGATGAGGTCTCGCCAAGTTGCCCGGGCTGGTCTTGAATCCCTGGGCTAAGGCAATCTTCTCACCTCGGCCTCCCAAAGTGCTGGGATTATAGCCATGAGCCACTGTACCCGGAAAAAAAAAGAAAGAAAGAAAAAGAAAAAAAAACATATTTTCTCAACATCAAAAGAAGCGGACACAGGAATAGATGATTTAATTTTTTGTGAAAAGTAAATGCATGTTTTTTTATAGCCAATTTAGACAAGGAAGAATAAATATAGGGTTGACGGTAATAGAGATAAGAAGGTAATAGGTGAGGAAAGTACCTGATTCTCTTAATATAGAATGAAAAGTTTACTTTCAGATTATTGTGGTCATATACGGAAAAGTTTATAGCCTTCTTCACCCGCACTGAGGAAAACAATAATTTCCCATTCTTTTCCAGGTATTTTAGTTCATTTTGAAAATGATTACTTGGTTTAAAATGGTATGCCTCTTCTCACACTAAACTATTATCTGTGATTTTAGAAAAAAGGACAGGATACTTAAGGTTTTGATTTCTTTTTTACTTTTCAGTTAATTGATACATGTCCAATAAAAAGGTGATATATTTTGTATCTGTTCCTTAAGATCTTCCATATCAACTGAAAAAATTACAGAAAAATAAATCTTCTCGGTACAAGTTTTTTTCATTTGAGTTGAAGCCACAGATCTGTTCTTTCTAGATCTTTGAAGTGTGAATCATCCAATTCCTGTCCAAAAGATACAATCAATCACAGTCATGGTTTGGGGGGTTTTTTTGGTATGTTTTTAAGATGCTAGAGAATTTTATTCGTCTGTCTATCTTCACCCCCTCAGTGTATCTACGTTCGGGTCAAGAGCGTATTTGCAGCCAATGGATACACGCCAGTATTTATATTGCCTAAAGCCCAAGAAGGAGTTTGCAGAAAAAGCTGGCATTATCAAGGGTGTTACAGTAATTGGAAAATTGGATATAGTATGGAAAACAAATCTGGGTGAAAGAGGAAGGTTACAGACCAGCCAACTTCAAAGAATGGTGAGTCTAGAAAAAACATTTTGGGCATTTTGGTTTATGGTGGGGCAGGCAGGCAGTTATGACAACTTAAATTTTTTTGTGTCAGTAAAAATCGGAGCACTTAAATGTATTAATATATTACTAGAGAAGGAAAGACTAATAGCTTCACTGATCTCTAGGTAGAAAATCGGCATTAACAGGAATAAAAATGTTCAAATATTAATTTATCCTTAACATGTGTTTTTTACTTTACAAGACAAATTAAAATAGCTGTTTATCATTTGTTTCCTCTTTGGTAACATATGCTCACAATTCATCTGACTTCCAAATACATTATGGTTTTTTGGTTTGCAATGTCCTGAAACTCTTGGACTTATTAAATTCACCTACTCAGTTCATATCTTTGTAAAGATGTTAAAAATCTGAGGCATCTGAAACTCAGAAGGTGAGTCCACTGAAGTCACCTTATAAGCATTGGTTGGATACCTCATTTCTGCTCTGAGAGTAAGAGTAGCTGCCAGTGTTCTTATGCTTGTGAGAATATGCTACAGGAGCCTCCTTTTATGCAGAGTCTTACCTGTTCTGACATATTCTTTCACTGTTTGAGGCAGTAATTTTTTTTTTAAGAAAATGATTAGGTGATCATTGGGCCTACTTTATTTTTTTTAATTTTTCAATTTTTTTTATTTGGAGTCTCACTTTCTCGCCCAGGCTGGAGTGCAGGGGCACACTCACAGCCACCACAGCCTCTACCTGCTAGGCTCAGGCAATCCTTCCACCTCAGCCTTCCAAGTAGCTGAAACTGCAGGTATGCGCCCCCATGCCTGGCTAATTTTGTGATTTATTGTAGAGACTAGGTCTTGCCAAATTGCCCAAGCTGGTTTCGAACCCTTGGGCTCAGGCAATCCTCTCACTTCTGCCCCCCAAAGTGCTAGGATTACAGGCATGAGGTACCACATCCAGCCAACTGGGCCTACTTTAAAATAAAGCATGGCATCTTCCAAGCCTTGATGCTCTTACACTCCATCCTCACCTATGTGTCTTGTGAAAATACATGATTTCTTCCTGATTTATTTCAATATCATCTTCCTCTTTCTCTTTAGGCAATAACCTTACCTATTTAAAGTTTTATACATAGAAACTACAATATGTCTGGAAAACATCTCTTCAACATCATACCCCCTGAAATTTCTTTACTGACTACTTACTTATGAGATTTATCTTAACTCTACTGAACAGGGAGTAATTATAACAAAAACAGTCTAGGTTTGCAGGCCTGTTCCACAGGTAGTAACAGCACAAAAGAGATTATAATAAAGGAATAGTAGAATGAATCAGAAGTATTTTTTCAGAACAAGACCCAACAACAGCTGAGTGAATGTGCTGGTGTGGTACCTTTATGAAAATGTAATAGATACATGTTAACTGTGTTGCTTGTTTTCTTAGGCTCCAGGTTACGGAGACGTTAGGTTGTCTTTGGAGGCAATCCCAGATACTGTAAACCTAGAAGAGCCTTTTCATATCACCTGTAAAATTACAAACTGCAGGTAATGCCACTGTTTGTGGATGGCTATACTTTCCTCCTCACCTACCTAAAAGAGAATTTTTAAATCATATTAATACAATGTTTCCTTTTAAGTTTCCTTTTGACATACTGCATTCTGTGATGTTGATGTTGAGTACTACAAAGTTCTTGGTCGGGTAGCAGTATATTATATATTTGAGGACCTACTGTGATAGGAATTTTCTGTATTTCATTGATTCATCACACCCTATGAGATGGTTATTAATCATTCACATTCTGTGCAGGAGAAAGCCAACTCAGAAAGGTTAAGTGACTTATTCAAGCTGAGAGCTAGAAAAAGTTGGGCCAGAATTTGAAACCAGGTGTCTGTATGACTTCAGAGTTCACATCCTTTTCATTGTTTATATTTCCTTCACATTTCAGATTACTAAAATATGAACAGATGAATTCTTATGGAATATTACATGATCGATTTAAAGTAGTAAGATAGATTTTTCTGAGGCATACTTGTACCTAAGCTGTATCTTTAGCACTAAGAAACCAAAAATTGTTTTTGAATTTCATGTAAGGAATAATCGTAGATTGGAAAACAGGGTTTTCATAGTAAAAAGATCATAATCTAGATTGGGAAGCAAAGAGCACAGAGCTTTAAACCAGAAAACCCAGAATGAATTCCCAGTCCTATCACCTTTGCGACTTCTTGTACTCACAGTGCCACTTGGTAAGTGTTATTATTTGGGGAATTTTGAAAATACTGCAGTGATGAATCCCAACCATCATAGTGTGAATGTGTAGTCCCTTTAATTTCATATCCATTCTGACATTTTGATGTTAGGAAGATAGGAAATAGGTATCCTTCAAGACTACAGAAATACCTGTTTACTCTATAAAGCTACTCAGACCCTCCTAAGCACAGTTAATCATTCCTTCTCTGTTATAGCAAATTTTAACTTAGATTTTTAGTGACACTCATATGTTGCTATAAGTACTAGTCTCTTTCTCACTGGATTGAGAACTATTCAAGAGAAGGAACATAGTCTTTTCCAGCTTGGTAAATGCGGTAACTGCCACATCATAAGAGCTCAATAAGGAGCCCCCACACAGGTCAAAGACCCTGTGCATACAGGATGTGTTAGGGGATTTTTTTTAGGATTTTTTAGGTATAGCAAATCAGTTTATTGACCAACTGACAAAGCATTGTAAAAAAATATTTTTAACTTATTTTGGTGTTCACTTTAGCTTGGTGATTCAAGTAAGTTTTCTAAGAAGTACTTGTCTCTTAGATTTTTAGTGTCCTCATCTATAAAAATGTTATTCCTGGCTTCTATATACACACAGACACATACACTCAACATATATAAATCTTACTGGAATTTTGTGGAATTAATGAAAAAGTTTATGTAATGCATCTAACTCTGGTCTCTGGCACATCATGGGCATTTTAAATGTTTGTTGGGGAGACAGACATATAAAAGTTAATATCATACAGTCAATATGTATTTAAAAACTCAAATTAAAATTTAAATAAGTATTTAAAATATGGGGCTAACTACAAGAAAAAAAAGCTAAATGAGGTTAAAAGTAGCCATAAATAGTGATACTTTCATTATGAGCCTTATGGTTATTTAAAAAAGAACAAGGTGCATACTTTGAAACTTTTTTAACATACATATTTAAGCTGAACTGATGATATCTGTTATAAGCAGAAGCAGTATTTTCATGGTAAATAATACAATGAGCAAGCCTGAATAGCATTAGTTCTTAGGAATCCTGTCAATCATTTTCTAAATCATCTGCATGGTAAAGCAACATAAGTTAAATATCAAAAGCAGTGGACCAGAATCAGTTGTCTTTTTCTTTCCTGTAGAGTAATTTTAACAGAAATAGTAAGACTATACAGCAACAAGGTTAGACACAAATGTCTGGAAGTCTCCCAGAAAATGGCAAAGCTATTAACACAGATGAGCGTCAGGGGGCCAGTGTTCAACAACAGAATCAAAAGGCCAACATCTAAACAAGCAGATGAGTCTGAGACCATTTTAAACCCTAAAAGGTGCCAGCTTTCATTTTCCTGATTCTATCGTAAGTGAAATGAAAACAAAAAATAGCTTTTTAGTTCTCTTTGTGCTTTTTATTCTCCTGGACAAACACCCAGAAAACAAATGCATTGGCAATAGTAGAAGAAATATCATGGTACCTCTTTGTGAAGTAAACAAGATTTATTCCTGTTTTTCTGATTCCTCCAGCAGTGAAAGGACTATGGATCTGGTTTTGGAGATGTGCAATACCAGTTCGATCCACTGGTGTGGTATTTCAGGAAGACAGCTTGGAAAGCTGCATCCGAGTTCCTCTCTCTGCCTTGCTCTTACTCTGCTGTCTTCAGTACAGGGACTGCAAGTAGGCTCTTTTTTCAGAAACTCCAGTATTGGGGGGGGCTGGCAACTTACAGTTATTTATGACATCCATATTTCTTCTGAGTGAATGAAAACTTAGGCCTGTATCTTTTTCTCAACAGAGTGTCTCCGGCTTACGACTAACGGACACATTCTTAAAGAGAACATATGAATATGACGACATTGCACAAGTCTGTGTGGTATCTTCGGCTGTTAATGTGGAAACCTGAAGGAAATTTCCAGTGTTATGCTTTTCATTTAGTTGCACATAACTGCTTTCTGTATTTTTGTCATCTTTGTAAAATAAGTCAACAACGAAAAGAAATATATATTATTTAAATTTTTTCCTGTAAAACAGTTAAAATATTAAATGTTTGTTTTGAAAAGAACTATATATTGATTTTATCTTTGTATATTTTCTACACATATTGTTTCATTTTAAATGACCATTGGATGTTCTCTAAAAGCTGTGTTTGAGACCATTTGTTCTTAGCAAGCATCTAGAACAGAGATCAGCAAACTTTTTATAGAAAGGGCAAGATACTAAGTATTTTAGGCTTTGCAGGCCATATGGTTCCTGTCACAAATACTGAGTTCTGTCTGCCATTATAAGTGCAAGAGCAGCCAGTAGGCAAAAACCTGCAGCAGTATTTACAAAAATGGGCAGCTGGCCAGCTTGGGCCTGCAAGCCATAGTTTGCTGACATCAATCTAGAAGATTCAGTTGTTTCTTAGAACTTCTGTCAGAATATTTTGTTTAAAAATAATTAACTCTGGTTTTTGTCCTAGCTCCTCAGCCAACAGAAAAAACTTGTTTAAAACAACTGGGGTAGTCCTATAACCTGATACTTGGAAACACAGCATAAGCTTTTCTAGGTGTTTTTAAAATTACTGTATTGGTAGGTGTCTGGTGTTTGTGTATACATGCAGATACACACATCTGACTTTCAGGTACTGAAAAGCAAATCAGAATTGGCTTTATTTCTTAGGTCGTTGATTACTCCATTAGCTTTTAACTAAGAAGCCTAATAATTTTCTAATTCTAAGACAAAAACTCCTAGGTTTTTTCTCATTGAAAAGTAATATTTTCATAAGGCATATTTAAAGAATTCCTAACTTCTGGTATTTGATTTTAAACTCTAAATCATATCTTAATAAAGCTTTCGATCCATGTAATCTCACTTATTATGAGCAAAACAGAAAATTAAGGTTGTAAACAACTTTGCAATGTGAATGTAACAAAATTTTGCAATATTTTGTCAGGAAAACAAAAGCTTATACTGTTAAATAAAAGCCATCCTATTTTGGTAAGCTGAAATTCAAGAATGTATATAGAATTTCTTGATTGTAAGAGTGCATTAAGTCAAATATAAAAATTAGTTTTCCTTAAAGTGCATAATTATTTATTGCCATGACAAATTGTTTGGTCCAGAATGAAAGCTATATTCAGAAGGTCTGTACCTTAAAACGGAATAATAATTAATGAAAAATCTGTACAAAATAAAGTGCAAGCAGTGTAAAACTGAAGTCTGTCTTTCTTTCAAAATGATTAAGATTGACTAAAAGATGAAATAAGACTTTATAGCTACTGCACTGAGTACTTAGATTGTTTCTCAAGCATCTTCTCATGAATGAAACCTCTGTTTCACTCTGTCTCAAGTTGAGAAAGGAATATATAATGGCCATTTGGAATCTGCTATAATTTGACTTAATTATAGTCTCTCAATTCTTAGATTTACTTGTCAATTTTATTTTCTGTTTTCTAATATATGATTTTCTACCTATTTTTATTAATAGTTTATTTTCTTATATTTGGGAATTTATTTTTATAAAGTATCAGGCATTAAGAATATATGATTAGTAAATGGCATGTCATTATTATGTAAATACATTTTGCCCAACAAAATATTATTTACTGTATACTAGTTTCATATATTTTATGCTAGCAATTTTATTAAAACTTTGAACAGAGTTCATTAACTTTTTAAAATAAATGAGCAGTCTCTCTGTAATAAACAATAACCTAGGCACATATTGTTCATACTTTGAAGTAAAGGACAGATAATGCCATCTTAGAAAGGATCTGTTTAAACTGTATTATAAAAGTTAGATAAGCAGTTAATTACGTTAAATGAAAACATCATTTGCATATAAAGGGCATGTTCGGCTTTACACAGCATCACAAGAGCTACAGCTACTATAATGAAATGTGGTTAATGGAAGTCAAGCATTTAGCAAAATGCCTAAAGATTTACTTTAATGCTCTAGTTTATCTAGTTAGATAATGACTGTGGTTTTCCAGATAAGCAACAAAATATAGGGGGCATTCCTTATAATTTTCAAAATCACGAGAACAACCAGGCAAAACTTTCTTGAAATAGCTTATAATGCAAAGTGATCAAGGTACTTAATGAGCAAAAATGGCTTGAATAGAATGGAAATCCAGGTAAGTGGACAGACATCATCTAGATTGAATTTGTTATAAGTGGCATGTTAGCAAAGAAACAAATAGAAAAATGAAATGGAAGAAATGCATCAATTCCCCATTATTTCATGTAAAAAAGAATGGCTAGATTGACTACAGATATTAGCACATGAAAATGTTAGTAAAGTTTTTTCTTCTGATGTCTTTGATTTTATCAAGGTAATACTAGCCAAATAAAATAAGATGGGAAGTGTTTCCTCCTCTGCTATTTTCTGGAAGAGACTGTAGAGAATTGGTATTTTCTCCCTTAATTGTTTGATCAAATTGAAAACTACATTGAAGTCATCTGGGTCTGTAGTTTTCTGGAAGGTTTTTAGCTACAAATTCAGTTTCCTCAATAAATATAGTCCTATTCAGGTTATCTACTTCAGTGAGCTAGGTAGTTTGTAGGAATTTGTCTGTTTGGTCTAGAATATATAATATATAGTCCTACAGTTACTCATAGAGTTTTCTAATTATCCTTTTAATATCTACAGTTTGTAATGTATGCCCTTTTTAATGCTGTTAATCTGTATCTTCTGTTTTCCTGTCAGTCAACTAGAGGTTTACCAATTTATTGATCTGAAAGCATTTTGAATGCACTTGAGATAGGCTAGAAATTTAACTTCTTCTAATACTTTTTATTCAACACCAGATAAGAGTGCCTTTTCTTTTTCTTTTTTTTCTTTTTTTTGAGTCAAGGTCTCACTCTGTGGCCCAGGCTGGAGTTCAGTGGTACAATCATGGCTCACAGCAGCTCCTGAGCTCAGGCGACCCAAGTAGCTGGGACTACGTGCGTGCACCACCACACCAGGCTAATTTTTTTTAAATCATATTTTGTAGAGACAAGGCCTTGCTATGTTGCCTAGGCTGGTCTTGAACTCCTGGGCTGAAGCCATCTTCCTACTTCATCCTCCCAAAGTGCTGGGATTACACGCAGGAGCCGCTGCACCTGGCCAAGTGACTACTTTTTAATTAAGAGCCTACCTTCTTTTAAAACCACAGTCAAGAAGCTGTGCAAACCCCAAAGACACCTCTTCTTATATAAATGTTTTAAAATAAAATAGCTGGAAATACATATTTGAAACGAAAAAAAGTAAAGTCACAGTCATAACTTCTATATGATTATTAGTCGTACTTCATTCTGTGTAACACTTGTACACTAGGAGCTGATTCTAACGTCATGAAAAATGAGGTTGCTTTAGATGGAGTATTGGGGATTTCATTTTAGAGAGTCTACAATTTCAGACATATAGATCTTTATTTTAGCTTTAGCCCAGGTGCTTAGGTGTTTGCTGTTCTCACTGAGAAACCGCTAACCTAATGTTGCTCTAAATTAGCCTCTGGACCTACATCAGGACTGGTGTGCTGTTCAAAATGGCAATTCCTAGGCCTTATTACAGGACCTACTAAATCAAAATTGAAGGTGTGGCTCTGAATCTGCATTTTTAATGAGTTCTCTGGGTGATTCTTACAATGAAATTACAGAAGTACTGTTTTATTATTGTCATTAAGAGAAAAACTTGGTTTTTAAACTCCAAGATGTCAAATAATTGGTATTTTGAAGACAACAGTAAGGTCTGATCATTCCTATTATTACAGCTTTGATTTTGTATTACTTTCTTTTTTAGTTTTCTCTCATAAAACTTATGAAATCGTTACTTGTCAACCCCACTTCACCAATTCCATGGTTAATAGCAAGACATTCCAGTTGGAATTAGAACTGTCTCATTTGTCACTGTAGTCCCACGCCATTAATACCTAATGCCACTTCTCTGGACTAACTAACATAGCATCTAATTTATAATAAAAAATTTTAATCTTCTGTTATGTTTAAATCGTATCAAATTTAAATTATGTTAAGCATAGGACTGGCATGCCAAGCCAAATTATCACAGAGGAGTACATGAACAAGCAATGTAAGTCAAAGATGCATTTTGTTATCCATCAAGTAATTACTAAGTTAAAAAAGAAAAATCTGTTTATGGGCACATAATTAAAAGCCACTTAGAAAATCCTTAATTTAAGACTAAGCCATGGACTTATTTATATATGGATATATTTGATAGTTTCCAAGGTAAGATTACCACTGTGGAAATTGTGACAATTAGGTCAAACAGTTATATTGCTGACTTAACCAGTACATTAAGGATTTCTAAATGTATTTTATTATGTACTAAGCATGCTAATGTTATCAATACCAAACTGCAGACAAGATTAGTTAAGCACTATGCAGAAAACCTGAGCATCTACCTTTTCCTTCTGTACATTCACATTATCTATTTTTTTTTTACAAAACATCCCTTGCACCAAGTGCTACTTTCTGCCAGCTCTTAAGATTCCCTGTCACTCACCAGAACAAACAGCATTAAAGGTATCTGTTCCCATGTTATATATTCACTTCTGGTAGCACTTATCAAAGCAAAACTTGCTGACATGCTGCTCAGAGGCAAGTATATTTCTTCTAAACCAGTATGGGAAACCATTTCTTTTGGTCATCTCCCCTCTCAAAAGAACTTCGCTTCAGGGAATTTGGAGCTAAAGAACTCACCAATAAACAGCCCTACTGTTGAATAAATATACTCTGCTATTAAGTCTAATATACAAACATGATAAAAGTTCGCGAATGGAGCCTTGCCACAGTGCTATATATTGGCACTTAACAAGGGTACTTATTCGTTTCAAAAGGTGTCATGTTCGAGTCTGTGATAAACCTATTGTCTAAACAGATTTATTCTTTAAGAATATACACAAGAAGTTTTCCTCCAGTATTTTCAAACATCAGACATGGTGTTTTGATTTTTGTTGTGGGAAGCACTATCTACAGCAAAGACTTTAGAGCCATAAACAATTTGCATTTGGGGCTAGGATTCCTGATCAAATCAGGAATGCTCTTCAGTGCTGCTGCTGAATGATCTGCTCCGGATGTGATTTCTCAGTTGCTCTATAAGCTCAGGATTTTGTTGTTGTATCTGCTGAGCAAACTGCTGTCCCCTGCAGTAAAGAGGCAAAATGGTATGAATAGGGAACTGCCAATCACAACACCCATGCAAAAAAGAACTGCAGAAGATATGGGAACTACTCAATGGGGAACTCTTCTATTAAAAAAAAAAAAAAGTTTTGGAACCATAACTTCAGTATCTATACATTTACTGATGCCTCCATATAGTATTATTACAGTGCAATGTTCTTTATAAGAAGCAAAATGTCCAAGCTAACAGAAAAAAATGAGTGTCATTGGGCAAAATCTACCCCTTTAGTGCTTAATCACAAATCAGCAAAGGGCTAAGAAGTGTATACTTTTACTGTATGTGCTCAACTATAATGCTTTTATAGTCAAGTCTTAATAGTCTCATATGATGGTATAACACCCAGCTTGGGATAGCTAGGGGGGTCACCCAACAACTAACTTTAAAAACACAAAGAAGTTTTATACAAATTCCTAAGTGTGTCACTTGCCAATGTTAAACATCACTATAATCATGTCACTTAAAGATCATTCTAAAAATGCAATATTCTAAGTGGTTACACAGTTGTGACAACAAATGGTACTTGTGGCTTCCCATAAAATTTCCCGTGATGGCACCAGACACAGACTCAAAAATCAAAGTATCTTGAGCAATTTGGATGGAAGTGAAAGCCATGTGCTCAAACAATGAGATGAAAGGTGTTCCTCTAAGTGTTGACAGGCATTGAAAAAACTTAAATAAAATCGTTTCTTAACTGTTTGAATATTAATATATGTAACGTGATTTTAAAATATGTATGTGTACCTAAATTATTCTATATTTTAAGTTAATATTTGACTTTTATTTGCATCCCTAAGTAGTTTCAAGTCTGCCAAAAAACTTTTTCTTGGATCCTCACTGGGAAAAATGGGAGATTAATTGCTTCATGAGGAGGGACCCCAAAAAACAATTATTTATAAAAAATGTTATATTCTTACATGTTTAAACTTCAGTCACCTTAAAAGTACTCTCCATTTGATGCAATATACCTATCAAGACACTTTTTCCACTGCTCAAAACAGTTTTTGAACTTGTCAATTTGATGCCTTTTAGTGCTTCTGCTGTTTTTTGTTTTACCTCTTCCACATAGGCAAAATATTTCCCTTTCAGAACTATTTTCATCCATGGAAACAACAACAAAAAAGTTGCTAGGGGTGAGAATGAGTGAATAGGGAGGGTGAGGCACAGGGGTCATGCCGCTTTTTGGTTTGGGGCAGGTGCATTGTCATAGTTGAAAAACCAGTCACCTATTTGCCACAACTCAGAACATTTCTTCCACAAATCATGATGCGACCTTCTCAAGACTTTCAGATAAAAACTTTGGTTGCCGGGCTTGGTGGCTCAGCCTGTAATCCCACGCCTTTGGGAGGCTGAGGTGAGTGAATTGCCTGAGCCCGTGGGTTCAAGACCCGCCTGGGCAGCGAGACCTCATCTCTACAATAAATCAAAAAATCAGCCGGGCGTGGTAGCGCATGCCTGTAATTCCAGCTACTTGGAAGGCTGAGGCGGAAGGATCGCTGGAGCCCAGCAGGCGAGGCTGCGGTGGCCGGGAGCGACTGAGTGAGACTCCAACTCAAAAAAAAAAACAACTTAGGTTGGCCGTTTGAGCTGGAGGAACAAATTCCGGGTGTACTACCAGGGGCCCACTCTCCAAAAGAGAATTTTGGTTTTCTGGGGTCCCTCATATATGGAATCAGTATATTTGGGCCTATGATTTTTTACTGTCCTCAAAAGTGCTAGGTCACTAATCAATCCTTGGGACTCTCTGTATGTAAAATGATAGTTTTGACATCCCCACTTAAGAGACTGAAGACCCTAATTTCATACTGACAACACAATCAAGTAGTAAAATCAAAACCTAGCTTTGCCATGGATGCTCTGACACCCGTAGTCACAAGCCTGTTGCTTTTCTAGCTCTTGAACAGGGACATAAATCACCTACTCCTGTCTTCACCTGCCTTATGGAGCGGGTACCCCCCCAAAAAAGCCCTATCCTCCATCCCCTCACCTTAGAGACAAACTGTAAAACATAAAATACATTTTCTCAATGTCTGTCTTAAAGGATACTTACGCTTGGATGAGGCTCGACAAGTCAGTTAAGCCCCCAACTCCAGCAGCAGGACCCCCGATGGCATTTGTCATCATTCCGGACATTCTAGAGTGTGCGGGAGACACATCATTGGGATCGGCATATGTTCTTAACAAAGAGGACCACTGGCCAAGGCAACATCAATCAACATAACCATGTTATATAAAAGGTTAAGAATAAAACATGCCTATGTTATTTACGAGGTTAGGCTAAATGTATATGGCATTAAGTTCCAACTGACTGGCATTCAGGGCAGTTTTATCATTTTTTAGCTGATGTGCTTCAATTAGAAGACAGGCAAGTAGAAAGGGGAAAATGTAATAAGCTTTTTCTATGTACTCACAGCTGTTGAACTTGAGGGTTCTGCATTAAACTTGCTGCCTGGAATTGAAAAATAGCACCTCCTGTTAAGAACAGTTAACATTTAGGGATCTCTAACAAATGTATTTTTTAATATAGAGGACTGAAATTTAAGCCATGCATGTGCTGACATTTTGTGCCATTTTAGGGTGCTACCCAAAGTAAATAAGGTAAAAGAGAAGGTACTAGAAAAAGTGGCATTAAAAAGACACAGCAAGGATAAAGTTATTGATGGCAGTTCACTTACTACTACTGATCAGATCAATTAGGTCAAAAGGAAAAATAGAAACTTAAAAGTATTGTTAAAGAATCTACACTTGGCCAGGCTCGGTGGCTCAGCCTGTAATCCCAGCACTTTGGTAGGCCAAGGCAAGTGGAATGTCTGAGCCTGTGGGTTCAAGACCAGCCCAGATAACTTGGTGAGATCTACAAAAAAAAAAAAAAAAAATTAGCCAGGCATGGTAGCACATGCCTGTAGTTCCAGCTACTTGGAAGGCTGAGGTAGAAAGATCGCTGGAGCCCAGCAGGTCGAGGCTGTGGCGGCTGTGAGCATGCCTCTGTGCTGTAGCCTGAGCGACAGAGTGAGACTCCGACTCAGAAAAAAAAAAAGAATCCATACTTGATAGGGTCCACTCTAAAAGAGTAGGCTCAAGAAATGCTGACTTGGTTCCAGGGTGCCCAGAAGTTACCATTCTTCTCAGGCTTACAGTGGGGGTAGAGAATTATATTTATATGCATACACACTTTAGAAACTCTCTGTTTTAAAAGCATTACTAATTTTTTTGCCTCAAATTGGTATTATCCACAATACTCGTGTAAAATTTGAATTTATTCTAAATCTTTATAGACAGTAGTTCATTTTTATTCACTGACCTTAACTGAGCTGTTAGGAAAAGTCACTGCTTGCTCATATTACCAGAAAGATAACTGTTGGACTGACTTGCAAATAATTCAATAACTTTCCTCAAGCCTCAGTCCAGACTGGTGCCTCTGAGTCAAACCCTGAATACTATGCACATTACACAGGGAAAGCAGGATTTATGAGCTATAAACATGCTGGTACCAAGAAAGTAGTTCTTTCCCTTCTTCCAGAATCTAGGACTTAGAAGAAATTTACAACAGATCCCACAGCTTTTATCATAAGCTGTCCTCTAGTCACTTTAAACTGTAAAATGACTTCTAGGCCAGTAATTAACGTCCCAATATAACCACCAAATCCATAAAACTTAATTTATAGGTAAAACCTTTCCTCTTCCCAGCATGGGCCTGCTGGCACAGCTGGCTGCTCTTTTTCCTGTAGTGCCTCTAGTTCTGATTCCCCCAGCTTCCTGACCAAGAATTCTGGCCCTTGAGGGTCAAGGCTAAGCAGGAGGCAAGAGGCAAACGGAGCAGGAAAGTTCTTATTTGTTGTCTGGCACTACCCGGCTGGTTTTGCATTAGGGCTCTTTGGGTTTGCAAGGTGCATTAAAACTACTCTGCCTCTTTTCTTTTTAAAGATGCGGGGTGTAATTCAGGATTAGGTTACATAAGTGGTCATCATATAGGTACAGTTTGGGCCTCCCTTGGGTCCCCACTTTACTCTAGTTCTTTCATGGGGTACTTCCTGAGGTTCCTCAGACTCTGCTCCCATCCTCACCCCATGGGGATTTCTCATCTACTCTCTGGAAAGGATAATTTGCCCTCTGGACGGATGCTTTCCTTTGAGTCCTAGGTTCTTAGCAGCCCTCCAGAGATTCTCTGTGTTGGGATCCTGTCACTTCCAGGAAGCCCTCTTGAGCATGCAGACCAACGGATTACTCTACCACATTGGTCCATAGGAAACACACCACTGCTCCACTGTCATCAGTACAGTAACTGCCCAAGCCATACAGCTAATTCTGCCACTGGCTTGTTTAGCTGATAAGTCAGATCCCAGACTACTGGCTTTCCCACTGAGGGCCAGGTAGAAAGCTCTCTGAGCGGACCAGAAAGGCCTTTTCTCAGTGGACTTGAGACGAGGGCAGGCCTCCCTACTTCTGTCACACATGGAGCAGTGGAACTCCAACAGCTGTCTCCAAGAATCCCCTTTAATTTCCATCAACCTGACCCTTTTTGAGAGTCACAAAACATGTTTTTAATCCTCCATTTTTGCAGTTCCTACATGGTGGTCTCACACCTTATTTGGGTACATAGCAACTTAGAGGCTAAACCAAATCTGAAATGAAAAGAATTCCATTTTCACATCTTGTTGCAGTATCATAACCTGAGTCCTGGAATGGATAACTTTGTTTTAAAATGTCACAAAACCTACAAGATATATATTTGCTAGCATGTAGGCAGGAAGACTGACTTAAGTTTAATGAGAGTAAAAAAGACCCTACCAATTGCTCAACAGACTTCTTTATCTCACTGGGAATGAGTCATCTGTTTCAGTTCAACTGATGATTTAATGGATACAAGACACATTTTCTGAAGGAAAGCAAGATGAATAAGAACTGATTCCTGCCTTTCAAGGGCTTAGCATGTGGTAGAATAATCCTCATCCAAAGTATGCATTCACCCAAGGAGTTACATATGCCCAGGGAACATAAATATCTAGACCCACTAAATCAGAGTTAACATATATTAGACCAGAGCATGTATGTTTTCAAAAAGACCCACAAGTTCTTTTGTTGGCTGGAAGAATAGAGTCCATATATAGGAGACTTATGTTAAAAATTCAAATAAACTCTCAAAATAAAAAATAAACCAGGTGTGGTGGCTTACGCCTGTAATCCCAACACTCTGGGAGGCTGAGGGGGGAGGACTGCTTGAGTCCAGCAACATAGGAAACATAGTTAGACCTCGTCTCTACAAAAAAAACTTTAAAAATGAGCGGGGCATGGTGGCACATGCCTGTAGTTCCAGCTCCTCAGGAGGCTGAAGCAGAAGGACGGCCTGAGCCCAGGAGGTTGAAGCTGCAGTGAGCCATAATCATGTCACCGTAATCCAGCCTTGGGTGACAGAGCGAGAAAAAAAGAAAGGGAGGGAAGGAGAGAGGGACAGAGGGAGGAAAAAATTAAAGCAGACAGTACTGAGGGGAAACATAGGGAACTACTATGGCAATTGTGAGATATCTTCCTAGGGCTACTTTTATGTAAGATAGCAGTTTTTAATCTTTCATATATTTGCAGACCCTTGTGCCAATGTGATGAAAAATATAGTTCTCTCCCTAGAAAAATGCACATACACACATGTACACAAATTTTTATATGCAATTTTGGGAGGATCCATGGGCTTCCTGAATCTACCCACGGCTTTCCCAGAAAGAGGCACACACACAGGTTAAGAGCCCTGCCAGAACCTTATGTCAACAATTCACCATAACTACCAGCACAAAAACTCCTCTATATTTGTTTCCGAAAAGCTTTGAAACTACATAGCTTTACAGAAAACAGAGCCAGTAGAGTAGAAAAGAAAATACTCACCATACTAATGAAGGCTGGATTATTTATCAAGCTAGCCATGTCAAAGCTCAATCCAGTTCCTGTCTGTAAAACATATCTGAGAATCAGTCCAGCAATGCCAAGTAAATTATAATAAATTGTGAATGACAGAAAATATTTCACTCATTTAGCATTAACAACTTACAGGACTGGATACCTCTCTTAACTTCTGTTCTGCTATTTTCAGATTTGATTTATAGGAATCATTTTCAGGGTCAAGATCTAATGCCTTTTGATAACTTGTAACTGCTTCTTCAAATTTATTCATGGCAGTAAGGGCCAGCCTGAAGGGAACAGAGGGTGTAAATGTATAAGGTATATGATTAAAGAACATCAGGATATAACAAACACTGTCAAACATCTGGTATTCAGCTCTAATCTAGATTACACTTAATTTCTTCATTGTACTATGGTTCACAGGAGTATCATGAAAATTCCTTCCCTTTAATTCCAAGATCTATATACCTGAACATTCTCTATTCTGCTTGCTGACAACATTGCTTGCCCTTGGACCATGAATTTAATGCTTAGAGATGAACCTTACCTAGTCTTCCATGTTTAAGCTTGTATGTGAAATAATTGCTTTCTAAATGCCTAGAGTGAGCTCACAAAGATGTGAGCTGACCAATAATCCTATGGTCATATAAACCCAGAATGCTAATTTTTAAAGACTTTCTATTTGTGCTTCACAACATCCCAAATTTTTTAATCTTCTTAACAGAGACTTTGAGCAACAATTAATATCAATTTGTCATTTAAAAAAAAATAGGCTGTGGATCATCAGATGACTATGCCTGATCAAGACATATGAGTTACTAAACAGATAAAAATAGCATCCTTTAAAACACAAATAACAAATTATCTCAGGTCCAAATCAGAGAGTTAGTTATTAAATGTTAATGTTCATCTCTACATAGTTAGAATTTATTGAATGAAAAATTACTTCAGAATTAAACAATAATGATACATATGGAGAGATGATATTGCGGATTTTTATTTTTAACAAATTATTCCAATTCTTTCTGAATAAAATACAGTACCTAACCATGGAAAAATCCATACAACTGAATTAGTTTTCTACCAGTCAAACATGAAGGATACTTCGCCAGAATCCCCAATTAATCACAGGCAGTCAATAATTCTTTGCTCAAACCCAGCTATATATGAGATCCTATTTTAAGTACTGAGGATTCCACGATGAAAAAGATAAAGTTCCTAGGCCAGGCATGGTAGCTCACGCCTATAATCCCAGCACTTTGGGAGGCCGAGGTGAGAGGACTGCCTGAGCCCAGGGGTTTGAGACCAGCCTGGGCAGCTTAGTGAGATCTCATCTCTACAATAAATCAAAAAACTAGCCAGGCATGGTGGCGCATGCGTGTAGTTCCAGCTGGAGCCCAGTAGGTCAAGGCTGTGGTGGCCATGAGCATGCCACTGCACTCCAGCCTGGGCAATGGAGTGAGATTCCAACTCCAAAAAAAAAGATAAAGATAAAGTTCCTGACCTTGAGAAAACTTGATTCCATCTAGGCAAGATAGACACCAAACATGCAAATACAAAGGGCAATATTAAAGATAACAAATAGGTGAGGTGCTCCAAAGTGGCTATGCTGGAAAGACCTGAGTGATATGAAGAAAGAACTCATAGGAAACTCGAAGACTCATTCTAACAGGAGCAGCAGTAAGCACAAAAGCTCTGAGAAGATGCGAGCGTGGAGAGACAAGGCAGGAGTGGAGAGTGGAAAGTGTGGGAGACTAGGCAGGAAAGCAGGCAGGCGCCAGGTCCCCTATGACCGTTGCTTGGAATTTGAACTGCATTCTGACTGCCATGGAGGAACATGATCTGGTTTATGCTCTAGGAAGCTCACTCTGTCTTCTATGCAGAAGATCCACACAGGCAGAAAGCCGAGTGGAGGAAGAAGACCAGTTAGGAAGCTGCTCCTAGATGAGAGATGTAGCTTGGACTAGGGCTATAAGCAAGATAGAGATTGGCACTTGGATCCAAAATACACATGGAAACTTGCTGACAGATACTCAGCACTTGTGCTAAGTGTAATGAGAATGAAGGAACGGCTAGGGGGCTTTCAACCTGAGCAAGGAGTAGCTGGATGATCAGACAATTTTCTGAGATGGGAAAGATTTAAGAAGGGAACAAGTGTTCTGTTTGGGACTTGCTAAGATTAAGATGCCAGTTAAACAGCCAAACAAACAGGTGAAACGTAACTGAATATATGAATATGGAGTTCAACCATATGACTTAAGAGATCCAGTAATGTACAGGAGATCCTCATTCACAGTAGTTATGTTCTAGAATGCCACCATGAACACTGAATTAGTAAATAACAAACAGCTATTCCTGGGGAAAATACAGGGTTAGGTTCTTGTGACACTGATCACATTTTTATCAATCAATTAACACATAATCTTATTTACATGTTTCTGTTGAAAGAAATCTTATATAACACATTTTTAGTTCATTAGTATTGAACTTATGGTCAACAGAATTAACTCATGCTGAATGAAGGATATCTCATGTGCATTTTCTCCATAAGGCACATTACAGCCTTCTTGCAGTTAGGCACGCTAGACAACACTTCAGCCTACATTTGAGGGGCACTGTAAACAGCAAAATCACAAACAAACAGCACAAAAATTTTAAAATGTAACACTAAATAGACTGTTTCAGCATGAGAGCTAAAACGAAAAGGCAGAGCATCATCACCTTATTCAGTCGCAGCTGAGATTGTAAACAATAAGATACTCAAATCTTTCACCACTTGTGCACGTCCATAAATGACCACAGAAGCATCATAAATATTGATTTGGGAACGACAAGTAAATTTTAGTAAATAGGCAAATTCATAATTATAGAATCTGCAAATATTATCAACTGAAGATGGAATTTAAAAGTGAGGGCAGGATAAAATCAGAGAACAGACAGAGAAATAGCTGCAGCAGAGGACTGAACCCTGAAGCATGCCACTGTTTTGGGGTTGGCAGAGGAGGAAGAACTCGTCAGGGAGACTGAAAAGATCACCCAGAGAAGTAGAAGGGAAACAATGTAAGTGTGGCATCACAGAACTCTGAAGACATTGTAAAAATCAGTGTATTGTGCCAAATACTAAAAGATGAGCTGGGGTTAGGATACAGAACTGAACACTGGCCTTGGCAAAATACAGACCACTAGTGACCTTGAACAGAGCTAGCTCAGGAGAGTGTGTGTGTCTGTGTGTAAATACATATATGTGGGGGGAGAGAGAGAATTATTATGAGAAATTGGCTCACATAAGTTTCAGGATGAGAAGACCCACCATCTGCTGCCTATAAGCCGGAGACCCAGTAAAACTGTTGATGTAGTTGGAGTCCAAACCCAAAGATTTGAGAACCAAGGGAGCTGTCAGAGACCAAAAATCAAAATGCCCAAGTTGAAGGGCAGGAGAAAATGGATGCCCCAGCTCAAGCATCCATTTTTGTTCAATTGGGTCCTCAAAGGATTAGATGATGCCCATCCAAACAGGTGAGAGTGAATCTTCTTTACTCAGCCTGCTGATTCAAATGTTAATGTCTTCCAGAGACACCCTCACAGACAGTCACAGAAATAACGTTTTACTAGCTATCTGGGCATCCCTTAGCTCAGTTAAGTTGACAATTAATGTTAACTCCCACAGTGATATAAACAAAAGTCCTATTGTAGTGAGCTGAAGAGAGAATGAGAGATGATGAAGATGAGACAGCAAGTTCAGGCAGCCATCTGGGGTTCTGCAGAGAAAAAGGAACTGCAAATGAGACGGCAGTTGAAGAGGAATACTGAGTAAAAAGATGGGTCCAATGGATCATTTTGAATGATCTTTCACATGCCAGCTATTATCATCTATCAGACAAGGAAAAACTAATGTTTTCATGAAAAAAAGGATAATAACAATTGTAAAGTCCTGGAGAAGGTACAAAGGGATGAGATCTTTTTTTTTTTTTTTTTTTTGAGTTGGAGTCTCACTCTGTCGCCCACACTGGAGTGCAGTGGCCGCTCCCGGCCACTGCAGTCTCGACCTGCTGGGCTCTGGCGATCCTTCCACCTCAGCCTTCCGAGTAGCCGGAATTACAGGCATGCACTACCACACCCAGCTGATTTTTTGATTTATTGTAGAGATGAGGTCTCGCTGCCCAGGCGGGTCTCGAACCCGTGGGCTCAGGCAATCCACTCACCTCAGCCTCCCAAAGGCGCGGGATTACAGGCTGAGCCACTGACCTTAAAGCATGAGTGGAGGCAATGGTCTTAGATAAGAACCCTTCCATTTTAACAGAAAAAAAAAAAAGTCTGTGTAGATACAAATGCACAAATGCAGGTAGACAGTGGATTTGGAAGAAGATGAACTACTTTTCTTCAAAATGCATCTATTTTCTCAATTAAGTATAAGGTTATATCATCAGCTGAGAGTCACCACAGAGGGTGAAGTGGAAATCTGAAGGGCGAGGAGGTGGTATGAAATAGGTACATCAGAGAGTGCAAAGGTGAATGTGGAAGGAAGTAAAATAGAATTGTCTGCCAATACTGGGTGGTCACTGGAGATTTGTGATCATAGACAGCAAATGAGTCGATGAGGTATGGTTGTATGATTTTCTCCAACAACAAAATTAGTCATTAAACAACTATCTCACTCTCAAGTCACACACATTGCAGTCATTTCCTCCCTTATGTTTTACTTATCTCATTAGTTCAGAGGGTACATTATTAAGAAGGAAGTTCAAAACTAAGACATTAAGAACAGTATATCTGGTAACTACATGATACTACTTTGAACATTCTACCAGAACTTACCCCATTCTTCCATAGGCTTTGCTGTACTTTGAATCAATTGCTATTGCTTTTTCACAATCCTTGATTGCATCTGTGTAGTGACCCAATTTGCTCTGAGCAGCAGCCCTGAGAAAGAAAAGAGATTTTTTTTTATCAGCAGCTTTCAAGGCACTAATTTAGATTTTTAGGTACTAACAAAGCTATATTTTTCTTGTCTCAATTTGTAGATCATTACCAGTAAATGGCTAAGCTAAATTAAGATAATTATATAATCAAGTGAGGAAAAAAAGTTCAGAAGCTTCTGTTCAGAAAAAATATGCAGGCTGCCTTTCCTGTTTACTTTGTCATAGAAAAGATAAATATGCAAGTCATACAACTGACCTACCTACCATCTTTTTAATTTGCCTAAATAGAAAAATAAAAACAGACATCTGGGCTACTTATGGGGAACACAGAGAGAGTGGCTGCTGTGAATGACCACAAACTGTTGTGCTGATAACTGATCACTCTAACAGTAGGGTTAAAGTGCAAGTAAAAATAATATTCCAGTTCTCTGGCACTTTCTCCCATTTACTCAGCTCTGAGGCAGACTGAACTGTATTTCTTTCAGTCTCCCAGAAGTCCTCATAATCCTTATCCCTCAGCAAAAGGCTGAAAGTCAATTCTGGTAAAATAATATTTGCCTAGATCGAAATCCCTGTAATTATGACCTCTCCTTAATAATATTTCCAAGTAGGAATAATTAACTCAAAGGAGAAACAGGACAGGAGAAGAGAAGCTCTAAGATGGATGTTGAGAAAACAATATGGGGTGCAGCAGCCAAGAAACAACAGAAGTCTCTTGCATCAGGAGGTCCAGAGTGTGGTGATTACGTCTTAGATTGCTCTCAACTGCAAAGACGACTGCTATGCTGCAGCCCCTCTGCTTCAAACACTGGAACTCTAGGACCTAATTAATACCTTTTTTATTCATTAAGGTAAGGAAGCAGTCTCTGAAAATTTTTTTTTGCAAGCCCCAAAACTGACTCAAGCTCCTTCATATCCTTGAGTCTACAAACAAAAGTCCCATGCTATCCCAAACCCTCTGACCGTCCTGGTCTTCTCCCACTGCAATCTGAGAGGCACTACTCTCTTTTGCTACCTTTATTCTTCTCTTGTTCCCCACATTTGTTGTCTTAACTGTCCTAAATAAAAAATCTTTTTGTTTAGCCACCCAGTGAACCATCTCTCTTCTTTGAAATTAGTCAACAATCGCTTCTTTCGGGGACCAACATGGACTCTAATAAGCACACATGAAAACAATACAACTGACTAAAACACCATCTATCTCCAGGTATTAATGAGGGTACTCACTGATCCTCAGCATTCCTTGAGTATCTTTTAGTCTCCTGTCAATCATACACATTAGGATTATCTAACACGACTTCTGTCTTACATCAAGCTTATTATTGTAGCCACACATACTAAATAATAGATCAATTATTTGTTAGGTATCTATAAACAGAATGTGTTATATAAAACCGACTCTAGATAGAAGAAGCTAAACGTAACACTGCAATTTCTGGAAGTAGAACCTGGGATATTAAGCCTACCAAAATTACTCTAAGAAGTAACCACATTTGGTGGAAAGCAGAAGAAGGAAAAACAGGAGTTTAGCTCTGATCAACATGAAGATGCTGAGAAATTCCCATCAAAGCTTGGCTTCCACAAAACAGATTAACAACACGTGAGTCTGAGTCACTGACATTTTCCATCTAATGCAAGGATTTCAGGTCAGTAAGCATTTATTCCAGTTATATTATGTAAGAAGCAAAACCTTCCAAACAAGTACAGGTCTTTCTTTTAGAGTAGTTTCACTCAGAGAAAATTTTAGAGGCCAGTCTTGAAAAGTTTCTATACATCAATGGCTGACACACACATATTTACTACCAGAAAATCGATTTCAAAAAATCTCACGCTTATGCCAGTTTGATCTTCTAAGCCATAATACTATCGGAATGAAAAATTCATGGTACAGTAACAACAGAGGCGGAATGAGATAGTACCTCAGAGTAAGCACCATTTCCTACCACTATAGCAAGCGCTCATCCACGAGTGATTTTAATCCATAGAGCCAGGAAGATCCTTTGAGGCCTCAAATCTACTTGTGTATCCTGCCTGGTGTTTGAGTTGCTTGAAGGAGAACAGTTAAGACAGTGAATTAATGTCTTAAATCCTGCCAACTCAGGAAGTTGAATCTGGGATTAGAAACCTACCAAACAAAGTTTCCTCTAAGAATTTAAAACATTTACTGTGAGGGAGGAATGGAGTTTATGGCCTAAGCTTGGAGACAGATTTTTTTTTTAATGATTTTATTAAATATTATAAGCACGGCCTCTGGAAAAAAAATTGTCCAGAAAGTAAGCATGAGGGCTGGGCGCAGTGGTTCAGCCTATAATCCCAGCACTTTGGGAGGCTGAGGTAAGAGGACTGCCTGAGCCCAGAGGGGTTGAGACCAGCTCGGGCAACTTGGTGAGACCTCATCTCTACAAAAATCACAAAAACTAGTTGGGCATGGTAGCGCACACCTGTAGTTTTGGCTACTTGGAAGGCTGAGGTGAAAGGATCACCTGAACCCAGCAGGCTGACACTGGGGTGGCTGTGCGTAGCCGCTGCACTCCAGTCTGGGCGACAGAGTGAGACTCTGACTGGCATCTACTGTAAATCTACTAAAGGTGATTTTGTAGAACAGAAAATCACACAAATCTCATATCTTTTCCACCAAGGTCTTTTTTCTACTGAGTGTATGTGCATGCATACATGCACAGAAACATTCATGAAGGGTAAAGGGATGGAAGGAGGGAGATTTTGAAAAAGGGGATGTAGAGAAAGACATGTGTTTAAAAAAAAATCTGTATCTAAACATTTGCTAAACACCTTCAGGAAACTGAAAGATAATATTTGTCTTTGGAGATCTTTTTTAAATTGTGATTTTAAAAATATAATCAGACTGGATGCAGTGGCTCAAGCCTGTAGTCCCAGCACTTCGAGAGGCCAAGACGAGAGAATTGCCTGAGCCCAAGGGTTAGAGATCACCTGGGCAACTTGGTGAGACCTCATTTCTACAATAAATCAAAAAAATTAGCCAGGGGTGGCGGCACATACCTGTAGTTCCAGCTACTTGGAAGGCTGGGGTGGAAGGATCGCCTGAGCCCAGCAGGTGGAGGCTGCGGTGGCTGTGAGCAGTATACCACTAAACTCCAGCCTGGGTGACTGAGTGAGATTCTGACTCAAAATAAGTATATATATATATTTGTATATTTTATGTATATATAATCAGAAAGTGAATCCTCTATATATAATACTCTGAGTACTTCAAATTTAATGAGAGTTTTCAAAAAGAACAAAAATACTACATGGATTGTATTTGAGGTTGTTACCAAAAGACTACATTCAGGATTTAATGTTAATGTCATATTTTTATTGTATTTATTTGTTCAATTAAAGTTTGTATTTAATAAATGTATATCCATGCCTTCCCAATACACTAATTCTCACTCTTTAGGTGCACATAACATTACCATATAGTATGATTATCTAGCAAGTTTAAAGTAAAAAATAAAACTTAACTATGTTCTTAAATCTGGCTGTGAGTAAGGATGACAACAATTTCATTACTGTGCATAGAGTCTCAGAGAAATTAAGAACCATTTATCTGATGGTAACCTTTTTTTGGGGGAGGGGGGTTGGAGTCTTACTCTGCCGCCCAGGCTGGAGTGTAGTGGCACGCTCACAGCCACCCCAGTGCCAACCTGCTGGGCTCCAGCGAACCTTCCGCCCCAGGCTTCCAAATAGCCAGAACTACTACAGGGGCACACTACCAGCCTGGCTAATTTTTGATTTATTGTAGAGATGAGGTCTCGCCAAGTTGCCCAGGCTGGTCTCGAACCCATGGATTCAGGCAATCCACTCGCCTCAGCCTCTCAAAATGCTGGGATTACAGACTGAACCTGAAGCCTGAAGCCTGGCCTGATGTTAATCTTTGATGATATTCAAAAAAGCTGCAGTGGCAAGGAGGGAGAAAGTAGAAAAGGGGGAAGGGAGAAAAGCACTTTTTAATAAAAATATGTGATGAAATTTTTGGAGAGAAGGTGATACATTGTATTAATGATTTGGGGAAAGATCATGAATAGATGATCAAACATTTGGTAAAAGACTGTTAAAGAACAATCTTTTATTCACATGATCTGGCCCCACAAATTACTTATTAATTACAAAAGGAATAATAAATCTGGTGGTCAGCACCTTAAAGTATCAATCTTAGAATCATCATCAATTGGACAGTTTGAAAATATGTACCTCCTAATATAATGCAATCGTTGGTACACATAATTATTTACGTAAACATCATACCAAAATTTAACCTAAATTTAATCATGAGGAAGCAACCATACAAATCCAGAATATGGCTCATTCTATAAGACAATTGGCATGAACTCTTCAAAAATGCTATATCATGAAAACAAATAATCAAAAGAGACAGAGATACTTTTTAGAGTCAAAGAGACCAAAGTGGCATAACAAAATGCAATGTAAGGAACTTAACTGGATTCTAGATAAAAGATATAGCTATAAAAGATGTTTTGGAGACAACTGGAGAAATGTCAGTATTAACATTAATTTTCTAACAGGTATGTAAATGCCATGATAGTTATATGGCATACACCTTTCTTCTTAGGAGATATAGCTGAAGTATTCAGGATCAGCTAGAAAATCATATATTTGTGTATATGCACACAAACCCCCCAATGTAGAGAGAGGCAGTTAACATGGTAAAATATTAACTACTACTGATTCAAGGGTAAATGTATATAGATGTCCGTCATACTACTCTCTCAGAAAGTTTGAATATATTTTAAATAGGTTTACATTTTTAAAAAATGCATATACATGTTACCATGTAATTTTTACTTTTAGAAGTCATCAGGGAGAGACAATTTTCCCTTTTAAAATCTGAAAGGAATCAAGTCAACTCAAACTTTTGCTGAACACCTATAATATGCTAGATCCTGAACTTGAAATCACAGTATAGTGATGAAGAGAATGTCTCCTGCTCTCCAACTTCATTGTCTAATAGGGAAACAGACA